CCAAACCAACCTCTTCCCCCCCCCCCTTCCCCCGATCCCTCTCTCTCTCCACACGCTTGCAGGCGCGGACACGCGCGCGCGCGCACACAGACACACAGACGCGCACACACACACACACACACACACTGTACTGTACTGTACTGTGTATTTTCGGAAGAGGAGGTGGCTTTCGGAAGAGGAGGCAGCGGTGGTGTCGGGGAGGGGGGAATCTCTTTCCCCGTCTGGAGATGGTTGTGCTATTCCTCTTTGCCTTGCTCTGGATGGTGGAGGGGGCTTTTTGCCAGCTCCATTACACGGTGCAGGAAGAGCAGGAGCATGGCACGTTCGTGGGGAATATCGCCGAGGACCTGGGCTTGGACATTACAAAACTTTCGGCTCGGCGTTTCCAGACGGCGCCCAACTCCCGCAGCCCTTACCTGGAGCTTAACCTGGAAACCGGGGTACTCTACGTGAACGAGAAGATCGACCGGGAGCAGATCTGTAAGCAGAGCCCCTCCTGCCTGCTGCACCTGGAGGTCTTCCTGGAGAACCCCCTGGAGCTGTTCCGGGTGGAGATCGAGGTGCTGGACATCAACGACAACCCGCCCTCCTTCCCGGAGCCCGACCTCACCGTGGAGATCTCGGAGAGCGCCACGCCGGGCACCCGCTTCCCGCTGGAGAGCGCATTCGACCCCGACGTGGGCACCAACTCCCTGCGCACCTACGAGATCACCCCCAACAGCTACTTCTCCCTCGACGTGCAGACGCAGGGGGACGGGAACCGCTTCGCCGAGCTGGTGCTGGACCAGCCGCTGGACCGGGAGCAGCAGGCGGTGCACCGCTACGTGCTGACGGCGGTGGACGGCGGGCAGCCCCAGCAGCGCACCGGCACCGCCCTGCTCACCGTCAGGGTGCTGGACTCCAACGACAACGTCCCCGCCTTCGAGCAGCCCGTCTACACCGTGTCGCTGCCGGAGAACTCGCCGCCGGGCACCCTGGTGCTGCAGCTCAACGCCACGGACCCCGACGAGGGGCAGAACGGCGAGATCATCTACTCCTTCAGCAGCCACATCTCGGCCCGCGCCCGGGAGCTCTTCGGCATCGCGCCGCGCACCGGGCGCCTGGAGGTGAGCGGCGAGCTGGACTACGAGGAGAGCAGCGTGTACCAGGTGTACGTCCAAGCCAAGGACCTGGGGCCCAACGCCGTGCCCGCCCACTGCAAAGTGCTGGTGCGGGTGCTGGACGCCAACGACAACGCGCCCGAGATCAGCTTCTCCACCGTCAAGGAGGCGGTGAGCGAGGCGGCGGCGCCGGGCACCGTGGTGGCCCTTTTCAGCGTCTCGGACCGCGACTCGGAGGAGAACGGGCAGGTGCAGTGCGAGCTGCTGCAGGGCGACGCGCCCTTCCGCCTCAAGAGCTCCTTCAAGAACTACTACACCATCGTCACCGAGGGGCCGCTGGACCGCGAGCAGCCGGGCGGCGACGCCTACACGCTCACCGTGGTGGCCCGGGACCACGGCGAGCCGCCGCTCAGCACCAGCAAGTCCATCCAGGTGCGGGTGAGCGACGTGAACGACAACGCGCCGCGCTTCAGCCAGCCCGTGTACCAGGTGTACGTGAGCGAGAACAACGTGCCCGGCGCCTACATCTACGCCGTCAGCGCCACGGACCGCGACCAGGGCGCCAACGCCCGCCTCGCCTACTCCATCCTGGAGAGCCAGATCCAGGGCATGTCCGTCTTCACCTACGTCTCCATCAACTCCGAGAACGGGTTTCTCTACGCCCTCCGCTCCTTCGACTACGAGCAGCTCAAAGAGTTCAGCTTCCAGGTAGAGGCCCGCGACGCGGGCGAGGAGCCGCAGCCGCTGGCCGGCAACGCCACCGTCCACATCATCGTGGTGGACCAGAACGACAACGCTCCCGCCATCGTCAGCCCCTTGCCCGGCCGCAATGGCACCCCGGCGCGGGAGGCGCTGCCCCGCGGCGCCGAGCCGGGATACCTGGTGAGCCGGGTGGCGGCGGTGGACGCCGACGACGGGGAGAACGCCCGCCTCACCTACAGCATCGCGCGGGGCAACGAGGCCGGGCTGTTCCGCATGGACTGGCGCTCCGGGGAGCTGCGGACGGCCCGCAGGGTGCCGGCCAAGCGCGACCCGCAGCGCCCCTACGAGCTGGTCATCGAGGTGCGCGACCACGGGCAGCCGCCGCTCTCCTCCACCGCCGCCGTGCAGGTGGTGCTGGTGGACGGCGCGGGAGAGCGGTCCGGCGGCGGCGGCGGCCCGGCCGCGGGCACCGGGGCGGGGGGCGGCGGGGGCGGCTCCGGCGAGCATCGCCCCAGCCGCTCCGGGGGGGATAACTCGCTTGACCTCACCCTCATCCTCATCATCGCCCTGGGCTCCGTCTCCTTCATCTTCCTGCTGGCCATGATCGTCCTGGCAGTGCGCTGCCAGAAGGAGAAGAAGCTCAATATCTACACCTGCCTGGCCAGCGACTGCTGCCTGGGCTGCTGCTGCTGCTGCCCCTGCTGCAGCCGGCAGGCGCGGGCCCGCAAGAAGAAGCTCAGCAAGTCGGACATCATGCTGGTGCAGAGCTCCAACGTGCCGAGCAACCCCGCGCAGGTGCCGGTGGAGGAGTCGGGCAGCTTCGGCTCCCACCACCACAACCAGAACTACTGCTACCAAGTCTGCCTCACCCCCGAGTCCGCCAAGACCGACCTGATGTTCCTCAAGCCCTGTAGCCCCTCTCGCAGCACCGACGCCGAGCACAACCCCTGCGGGGCCATCGTCACCGGCTACGCCGACCAGCAGCCCGACATCATCTCCAACGGCAGCATTTTGTCCAGCGAGGTAAGGACCTGCACCCCCGGCATCCCACACCCCCCCAGCGCCTGCAGACTTCATCCCCGAGCATCCTTCCCGAAGCTCCTGCTCCTCCTCCTCTCCCGTCGCGAAAGGCGTTTTGCATTCCAAATCCTGCGTCGATCTCCTTTAATCCGTCCGCTGCCTCTCCCCGCTTTACCCTCTCCTCTTTGGGAGGCTTTAGCGACAGGCGGGGGTCTCAGAGGCGATTGCGGGGTAGACACACACACGCACACCGCTGGCTCCCTCCCGCTCGAGCTGAGCAGCTGTTGCACCCACGCGTGTTCCCCCTGAGTCCCCCTCCCACCCCCCTCCGCTGCCTCTGAAGGAATCCGGCCCCGGATGGGCAGCATCGGGGCGCAGAGATCCCCCCGAGGCAGCGGTAGCTGTGAGTGGATTGCCTGTGGGTTGAGAGATTGGGGGGTTACAGCTCTTAGCAGAATCTCTCCGCTTGACAGGGCTGAGGTGACGTGGGGTGTAATCACAGGATGTTCTGAAGCAACGCTTTAAACCCGTGTATTTTTCCACCCTAAAATCTTTTCATGTGCAAGTAAAGCTTTGGGGGAAACCCCCTTTGGGACTGTGACAATCAGAGTAGTTAGCAGGAGCTTTAATTAATTTGTGAATTAGGGTTTAATAATTGACTTTTCTTGACTCTGTCTGCACTGCTCTTTATAACCCCAAAGTTTGCAAAGAAGACCATCAGGAAAGAGTTTCTGTAAAATTGTGTGCTGAGACTTAATGTCCCCTGCAATCTTGCCTATGCTGTGTTACCTGGTGTGTAGAGAATTTTTACTAAAGCATTTACCATGCCACGTTACTCTCTCATTAATCATTTTGTGCTGGGTTAGCTCATATATATTGTCAGCACCTCTCTGCCTGTACACTAGTGAAAACCTCACATTCTCTCTTACCCTACTGAAACCTGAGTGTTGTCCAGTCTGATAAAGGTATTTGAATGGTATGTTCTAAGGCATTAAATTCTGCGGTGAAATTTCTAATATTGATTTGTAGTACTGACCTTGCCTCAAAATGTCTACAAAACTCTTGGCTTCTGCTGCCTTTTTAATGACTTGAGGGTGTCTCAATGTATTGTTTTATTCCTTATGGAGCAATACCAGAACCATCTAAGTAGTCCACAACTCTAGAAATAGTTATGCTAATTTTTTGTGGGAGTTCTTGTGATGCTCAACAGTGTGCACTGTGAGAAAACGTCAGAGTCTTGTCTCAAAAAACTCCAGAAAAAAATCCCTCGTGCCTTCCCGTCTGTGTGACTAAGAGCTGCTTTTTTTCCCCCCTTACATTCTAGAAACAGATTTTGTAGGCCTACTTGCAGCTAAGCATTGCCATTTATAGTGAATATGGTGAGCTGCTCCTTTGTATATTTTCTGCTGCTGGTTACAGAAATATCAAGAGTTAAAATATCTACCAATAATTTTTTTTCTCCTAGACAAAGCATCAGCGTGCTGAGCTCAGTTATCTAGTTGACAGACCCCGACGAGTAAACAGGTAGGAGCTCGGTAGCCTTGGTTTCCTCATGCATGCTTTAGCAAGTCTGAATGCTGTGCAGAAATGTGTTTACTACAGACATAACAGGGTAGTAAAGCAGTGGGAAGTCGAATGTATGTAGATGCACTAAATAAGTTTGAATTACGGCTTTTCTAAACTGTTTTCCGAACTGACTGAAAAGAGAACTCAGTTTGTATTAGTCTAACGTGCTTCAAATACTTAATAACATGCTTCTGTGGGGTCTCCCAGAAAACATTGTGTCACTGAGTTAAAATTCAGCTAACCAGCTTAAGGAAATGCTACCAAATTACTTTTACCGACTACATGAAAGCCAGGAGGAGTAATAACCCTTGCTGGCCCTTGCAAGGTCTGAAAATTGCTCGTTTTGCTCATGGTGGGCAGGGCACCTCAGTAGAAGCCGTGCAGCAGGCAGGAGTGGGGGGAATGCAGCGCCGTGTTTGGCCATGTGATGGCGGAAGAATGTTTTATGAGTTCCTCTTTCATGTTTATTCTAATGTAAAGATGTTTCTGTGTCTAGTTCTGCATTCCAGGAAGCAGACATAGTAAGCTCTAAGGACAGTGGTCATGGAGACAGTGAGCAAGGAGACAGTGATCATGATGCCACTAATCGAGGTCAATCCTCTGGTAAGTCTGATAAGAGAATGGAAATATTGGATCTTTAAGCAGGGAGACTAGAAGGAGCAGTTACTTATAGGAATATAATACAAGAGAGGTATAAATAAGGTGAGCATGTTTATTTTTGGAGAGGATGGGTTTACATCAGCTTGCTGCTACAGTTGCTTGGACAAGGAGGCAGTTTTGAACCTCTTTTGGTCACAGGGCTGAATTTATTTTATTCATTTGGTTGGGGATGGGAATTGTTGTGTTGTACTGTATCGTTCACTGCAGCAAAACTTCCTGCACATTAAAACCAAGTTATTGGTACATTTTATAGTACATTTTCTCCTATGGCAGATTTAGAGAATTTCAAAGCATTAAGCAATTCTGTTTTGTAGGCACTTCAGCTGGCACAGCAATGAGAAGTGAAGGAGGAGTTCCCAAGGGAAAGAATGAACCCAATGATTGAATGACAGCCAGACTGTGAGGGTTTTTTTTTTGCAGGGGATCAGTGGAGACACATTGGGTGCTCTGAATGTGTAATACCTCAGAATCTTCAGAGGATTGTCTGTTAATTCAAATTGAGGCACCATATAGTGCAAGTGGTCTCCATGTTAATAAGGTATCATTAAATACATTTTCTTGACAGAGGAAAGAAAGGCTTTAAAAGACTATGAATCACTTAGGAAATACACACATTGCAGTGTTATGCCCATATGTAGGGCTTGCTGTCTTAGTTCTCATACTGTCAGTTTGCTTCTGAAAGGAACATTTGTTCAGAGCCTGTGCATTAGAATTCACGCTCACCCTCACACTGCATTTTAGCTACAAGTGCTGGGCTTTCTTTCCTACCACAGCCTCCCCAGGTCTGGTTCATCTTTGTGCTACACAGTGCTGCCTTTCCCCTTGTTTCCTTTGTGCTCTGTCACGTATAAAGATTTGCTACAACTGTGTCATACAGACTACTGTCAGTTCTCCTTTTTTTTATTCCCCCCGACCCCCACCTTAGAAGGCACCAGGGCGGGGGACCCAGTGCTGTCACAGCAGTGCTGCCTCACCCGCCTGCTCTGTTAATGTCCCCTATTTTCTTGCTGCTGTAGTCACTGTGCCCTTAACGATGGGAAACCCAGGCACCAGGGGAAGAGGAGGCTGCCACAGGGCCTCTTTCTATTGCTGCAAGTCATTAATATGCAGACCTAATGAGACTTGAGAAGAGCCAAGAGTCTCTGGAGCTCCCTGCTTCTTGCAGGGCTTCATGCTAAGTGAACAGAGTGTCTATTTTGTGTCTGGGAACCTGACAACAAACCAGGTCTTGCCAGAAGTTTACATCTGAACACAGAGCCTCTTTCATTTTTGGCCTATATATGGCATATGATTTATTATTGTTCGAAAAAGCCATGTATTTAGCCTCCCCCCACCCTTTCTTTTGCACTGTTTCTGATGCAGCAATCAGGGCTACTGAGTTATAAAAAGCTCTCTCTCCTCCTGCCCTCCCTGCATTCCTTTTTTTTTTCCTCTTTTACGCATTTTACTGCAGCAGTCATCTCCATGAACATTTCAATCAGCTTAGTCCCTCAACATAATGAACCATAATAACCAAACAGGAGAGAAAAGAATAAACATCTGCAAAAGGGGCTGGATTTGACTGATGGTGGGAATATAATCATATAGTTGCACATCAACTGAAAGCTATTTTCTTTTAGATGCATTCTGTGCTGTTATTGTTGTGCCTCTGTTCTTTATGCTTTCCCTCCATTTTAAAAGTAGACTATGAATACTTGTCGTATTTGGCATTGATCCTTAGTGGGATAAATTCTTCTTTATTTCTATTTTATCAAGTAGTGGAGAAAAACTATTCTGTACTTTTAAATAATTTCAAATCATTTAAGAATCTGATGTGATTTGTGAACTTCTGTATTTTCAGTGGTGATCACATAGTCAGTAATGAAAGCTGACAATTAGGCTTCGTCTACTCACAATTAGTAGTTTGAACTGAAAACTCAGAATACACCAATTTCATATATTGGTACTGAGATTTGAGAATAATTTGCATGCACCATTTTTTTAATGCTAGTGCCAAATAAATATTTCAGTACAGATCTCTGTACTAACTGCTTTAATCTTCTTCACACACATTATTTACTTTTCCTGTAAGTTTTGGGCTGAATCATGCAGGCTTAATGCAAAGAATGTGCCCTTTTACCTCGGAGATGACAAGATACTTTGACTAAAAACTTCACTCTTGCTATGAGCTTTTGGGAATGAATTTTATGGGGAAAAAAAGGAGCATGAGTCTGTTTTGATCTCGAATGGCTAGAGGAAACATAGAAGGAATGCCTTCTCAATTGCTTTGGTCATTCTGATGCTCTGTAATCAATTATTTCTATATTACTAAAGGAAAGCACACTGACTGATAACATGGCAACAGTTTGGGCTTTTTTTTTTCTCCAAGATGCTACCTGATACAATGCAGCATCATATTTATTTTCAAAAGCATCTAAAAATATTTAGTAGGTAATTCACACTGGCAGACAAAACTCATTCCCCATCAGTTTTAGTCAGCAGCATGTTCTGCTGGCAAAGCATCATTTTGCTGTTCAGCATGGGACCTCTGTCACTACTGAACAGTCCTGTGGCACGCAAGTAGCTATTCTGTAGTAGTCCATTGTAGTAGTCCAAACTGTGGTGTCATGGTCAGTTATTAATTTGGAAGGAAAATATGTAGGATGAAAATCCATCACACTGCCACAGCTTTCTTGTGCACAGTTATTTAGTGAAAAATCTGAACTATACTGTTCTACGTATGCTAGAATATTTTCTTGGGTTTTGAAATTAGATCATAGTTCATCTTTTCACAAAATGTATTTTCTTAAAAGTGATTTAATCATGTTTTAAATATGCTGAAATGCATGTAAGGGATTCTTTTTTTCCTCATTAAAGTAACACACAAATGCTTCATAATTTTCCACATTCTTGCCTGCCTTAACACTGACGAAGTACTAAAGTACTGTCATCTGCTTTTGGCAGGGAATGGCAAGGAGTGAGATGCTCAAGATCCTAATTTTCTGTGGATTGAATAGTTATTTCATTGACTGGATTAGTAATCTGAGCTTTTTGAAAAAAGACTTGACAAAGGTGAAGATGTGCAGGAGGTTTTTGGCAGACAGAGGAGGCTTGTCTTAAACCTAGGTTCTAATGGCCTGTGCTCTTTGAAAATGTTTGTGAGAAAAGCTGCTACTTGTTATAGAACAAACACAACTCACACAACACTTCTGCCTCTTACTAACGCACTGTATTTCAGCCGTGTTCTGTAGGAGTAATTCTCAAGCATGAGGTTAGTTTATTTCCCATGGCTGATTAATTTCTTGGCCTCCCTTGTGAAACTGCCAGCTTGGGTGCCAATTAATACTCTGCATGTGTGTACATTTAAATTGTATGATTAGACACCTGTCCTGTAAGATTTGGACTCGTGCCATCAATTTATTTCCTATGGTTGCTCACTAGCTACTTGGCTTTCCCAAGCAGAGTCCTTCACAGAATTACCCTTTTTTTTTTTGTCATGGAATTGGCACAATATCTCAGAGGCACTTCAGGGAGGAATGCCCAAGATGAGGAGCCAAGTAGTTGCACTGCCTTGTATATCCTGTAAAATGTATCGGCTTTTTTGATCTGTTTTTGGACAGTTTACATTGGTGACTGGCTGAAACCTGAAATTAGGCTTTTCCTGTTGGATTTTACGAAGGGAACTGCTAAGGGTTTAATGCAAAGGCACAGGGTGAAACACTGGCTCACACCTTTTCAGTACAGATTAGCTGAATGCCAAGAGGGTTCATTATGGCAGAAGAGCTGCAATATTTCAGTGTCCATAAGGAGAAGAGTAAGAGAAGTCAGAAGAAGAATTTCAGTGATAAAGGGACAGAGAAAACCAGTATTTCCTCTGAGCCTATGCAGGCTGACACCTAAATCCTGTTTTGAAGATCACTTGAGCAAAAAGTCTATCTCAGATGAAGTGAGAGTGAACATGAAAACGGCTTAGAAAAGTGCTTTGACTGAAGCTAAGTGCTATTTCTATTTTTTTTTCTTTTTCCCCCTCTTCTTCCTTGGCCTGCATGGTTAATAATGTTCACATCTCAGTGGTCCAGATAGGCCTTTGAAGCTGAGATTTGGAAGAGCTGAATATTCAATATATTTGAGTCTTTATTCATGTTCTGATGCAGATGAAGTCAGTTTTATCCAAGGCAGCACACCAATTACTTAGCAAGAAAGAGTGATAATAAGTCTGTTTCATAAAGTCCAATTCTGAAGTAGATAACTACCAAGTAGGTTAACATCATCATCCTTATTTACCAATACAAAACATGAATCACGGGGAAATTAGTAACATGCTCATTGATAATCTAACTAAATAGATAGTTTTCCTGGCAATAGGAGCTCTGAGAAAGTCTGGCTCCCTACATCACACCTGTCTTGCATCTAACTAGCACAGGAGAAACAGAAACATCATTTATTTCCAAGTAAAACGCAAAGTTCTGAAAAAATTGCACACATTGGGGGGAAACCCCTCTCAGTAATGGTATTGCAAAAATACTTTGTCAGCATTTAATTTGTATTTTTATTTTTTGTTACATCTTTTACTCAGTAAAGCATACGAAAGTGTTCACTTGTTGCTCTTGGTGCATGGTTCTTCTCCCTTTAACTAATTTGAGAAAGGACACATTATTTAAAAATGATTTTAGGCCTAATTTTTGCTTTGACAGAAGAGTCTTTCAAACCAATTAAAACTCACAGAGAAATTTTGATTTTCTGCTTTTGAAATATGAAAAGGAAGCAAATTGGGAACACACTTCCAAAATGCAGTGCTGCCAAGTACGTGATTCAAAACACCTGAGTTCAGATACTTCAGACATCAAACTTAATTAACACCTTTCCTAATTTTTGGCAGCTTTTGAGGGAGGGGCAGGGGTTTGTTTTCCTTTAAAATCTGCAAAGTCAAGGTTGTGGGAGAGTTCATATTGTCCACTGGTCCCCTTGGTAATAAAATAGGAGTGAGCTAGTGGCCTTTGCCATGAGTTGTTCTATGTGTGCTGCATTTGGAGTAGTGCAATGCTTGTCGCTGTCACAACTTCAGTGCACTCTCCTGTCTGTTTGTATCCACAAAGAGCATTTGAAATTCCTAATTCAGAGTCACCTTTAAAAATATCATTTTATCTGCATGTGCAAGGTCTAACAGCATAACTAAGGGAGAAATAAAAATACAAAGCATTGTTCTTTAACGTGGACTTGTAATTATGATGGATAGTTTAATTCAGAAGGGTCATATATATATATATATTTATATATATATATATGTATGCATACATATATAGCCAGGTTTATGAAGGAAATGAGATGGAAGTGTTAAACTACCGAACATTTTCTTATCAATCAAGAACAAGATTCTTGGGGTATGAAGGAGTTCTGTGCTGTGTCTCACTTCTTTACCTGATATGTCCTTCCTTCTTGGAAAGCAGCAAATAGCCCTTACTTTTCTCCAACCGTGTGTTAAATCTTTTTCAATTAGAGCCAGAAAATTCTATGCTGTGACCCACAGGAGAAAGGTGGGGAAGAATAGCCAGCATTCATACCACAGGCAGTGTAAATTGCATGGCTGCCCAGGGATTTTGAAAATAAGCTGCTAATTTGAATTTCTTTTCTGTCAAAATACTAAACCCGAGGGTTTGGTTCTGCACCTGTTAAACTCTTAGGGACTGTTGTGACTGCTTCAAGCTGGAACAATTCCTAACCCTTGCCTCTCTGAACATTTTGTTCCCATTCGAAACAAGCATTTACATTTAGCTATGTGTTCCAGTGGGGTATATTTAAATTCCAATGTATATAATTTGTTTTCTTTTTCTTTTTACAAGTGCTTCTCTCAAAGAGAGAAAAAGTTTGCAGTACAAGCTGACATTTTATATCCTCTATATTCATTACTTTGTTTATTAAAAATCCTGATTTATAGTGGCTATAACATCTCTTTTATAAGAAGCTGTTACATAATACTATTCAGTGCACTGCACTAGACAAGCAGTATTCAAAAGGGAACAAAAAAATATTTGGATAGAGACATTTTGCAGTTTAGCAGCTGATGTGAGAACAAAATAGTAAAATTGAAGGTAATTTTCCAGGTGAAATAAACATCCATGAAGGGAAGAAAAGGGTATATATTTAAATGTGTATACTTAAAACAATATTTTTCTAATATTTCCCTCTCCATAGATTAAATATAATTTAATATTTACCCTTAAGTTTTCTTTCTCCTGCTGTCTTTCAGGAAAGGTTGAATGAATATGGTCACTGATACATTATCAGCAAAGTGGAACTGTAATAATTTTCTTATTAAATGTAGGGCTGCTTGTTTTTTACATGTAGCTTTGCCAAAAAGTCTGAAAATTGTAACTATTTTGTGTTTATTGTCCCTTCAATCTTTGGAAAGAAAAAAAAAAATTTTCTTCAGATATTTCAATACATAAGATACACACACACAGAGTTTTATAAACATTGTTAGATACTAATTTCTTTCTGGGAAGCCTCATTTAAATACTTCTTTTCAGTCTTTGATAGCTACTACCACTCCAGAATTTATATGTGTACTATTTTTCTTGCCTGATGATCTTCATCTGATTCCTAAGCATATCTGCAGTTCACATTTGCATTCTTCAACAGTTCACTGATCAGAAATTTATTTTCAGGCTTCTGCATGCCAATTATCAAGGCAAGCTTCTAATCAAAACTGGACCTGGCATTGTATATTGCTTAATTTAAAATTTAAAAGTCATTATAAAGTGAGATTAATCTGAAACAAAAAGCTTTTATTTCTCATTTCCTCATGATTTTTTTTCTGTCTAAATGATTGCCTTTCTTACTCAAGAACTTGTTGATAGCTCGTAATCATTGTTCCTTTCTGAAGAGATTGTTTTTCTGTAGTATGAGCTATTACATAAATATTATTAATATAATTCAAATTAGAGTTCAAAACTGTGGTAGAATCCTTAATACTAATCCTCACACTGGAGTTCAAGCTAATCCAGTTCTTTACAATGTTCCCTGATAAATGGGCTACATTACATGAATCTTATTACAAGAATTGACTAGGTTGGAAAAGATCTTTGAAATCATTGAGCCCAACCTGCGCCCTTACACCACCTTCTCAAACAGACCATGACACTGACTGCCACATCCTTAAGTTCAAGGGACATCCTTGAGTCTTTCCTTAAACACCTCCAAGGGACAGTGGCTCTGCCACCTCCCTGTTCCAACACCCGGTCACCCTTTCTGTGAGGAAATTCCTCCTAATGTCCAACCCAAACCTCCCCTGGCACAGCTTAAGGCTGTGTTCTCTTCTATATTACAGCTGTTCAAATTTTTTTCCCTGTTTCTGTTATAAGAAGTGTTATTTTTTTGTAATTCTAATGAAGTGCTTGTAAATGCAATGTTTATAACAGATTTAGTTCAGTTTTGATACACACCTAAGATGCTCAGTTCTCTATAAATACAAGAAAAGGAGGAATTTTTTACTGTTCTGCTTTTAGTATGATGTTGAAGATTGTGTTGGCTTAACCCAAACAGCAGCTAAGCACAACACAGTTGCTAGCTCATTCTCCTAGGATGGGAAGGAGAATCAGAAAAAAGTAAGTTGTGGGGTTGGATAAGAATAGCTTATTAATTGAAATAAAGATAATAATACCAAAATGGAGAAAGAGAGAGGAAATAAATTGAAGACGGAGAAATGATGCACACTACACCTGCTCACCAGGCACTGATGGATGCTCAGCCCAGCCCTGAGCAGTGATTGGCCCCTCCCTGCCACCTCCTAGTTTGTGCAGTGGGTGTGATGCTCTCTGGTATGGAATAGCCCTTTGGCCAGCTCACATCAGCTGTCCTGGCCATGCTCCCTCTCAGCTTCTTGTGCATTTCCTCACTGCCAGGGCATGGCACACTGAAATGTCCCTGATTGAGTGTAAGCACTACTGAGCAACTATCCAAACATTAATGCTGCTTTATTTTATTCTGTCCCTGTGATTTCATACACCAGTCCTCTCAAGTATAATCCAATGACTTATTGACTCTTAGCCAGGAAATATTCCTTAGAAAGGCTGCTCTAAAAGTAGTCAAAAGCAGCATAGCTTGTCATTCGAGATCTTAATAGCATTAAAGGATTTGTAAGCAAACAGTTGGTGTTGGCATGGATAATTGTTTGCTTGTATAGGGGAAGCATTAACAATTTTTTCGATAATATTTACAGCCACATCACACTGGACTGCAGTTGCCTTTGGACTGCTAATTGCAGTATTTTATTATAGGGTTCTGTCCCATTTCTTGGATGACTTGATAATAGCAAGGACTGCTGCAGCAGCAATGTAAACCATCTCTGAAAGAGTGATGCAATGATTGAATAAGCTCTCCTGATCACTTGAAAGCTCAATTCCTACTTTGTAACATCTGCTTTTAATATCAATAGGCTCCATCTCTATACTGATGTATGCACAGATAGTCCTTTTATAGGACTCATTAACGTTAAATTTCATAAATGAATCTGTGATTTCTAAATGCAGACTTTCAATTTCTTTGGTCAGAGGCACATTTATGTAGAAACAATTCCTTCATGTTCCTAAGCACATATTTTCAATGGGTTAACTGCAGACATTCAACCTACAAGCAGAATGGAACCTTGCATGAATGGGCTCTAAATAGTGAGATCTGCAAGTTATTTTGTGAGACAGAACCTCTGATGCTCTTCTTCTTGTGGTATTTTTGTGTGTGACATTCTAGCATTTAGTTATGCGTGTTACAGGGTGTCTTTGACTTCTGAAGACTGGACAGCTAGATTTTTTTCGTGTTGTTGAGGAGATGAATCTAGTGGAAAAAGTTCTTACGGCATTTCTCTTTCCACTTCTCTTTTCTTGGCATAATCTTTCTTATCTGTCAGCAGCTGTTCATGATGATGAAGCTTATATCTGTAGTTTCTTTTTCTTTCATGCTTGCAGGCATGGACCTCTTCTCCAATTGCACAGAGGAATGTAAAGCACTGGGCCACTCAGATCGGTGCTGGATGCCTTCCTTTGTTCCATCCGATGGACGCCAAGCTGCAGATTACCGCAGCAATCTGCACGTACCTGGCATGGACTCCGTTCCAGACACTGAAGTGTTTGAAACACCAGAAGCCCAGCCTGGGGCAGAAAGGTCTTTCTCCACCTTCGGCAAAGAGAAGGCCCTTCACAACAGTCTGGAGAGGAAAGAGTTCGATGGACTGCTGTCTAATACACGAGCGCCTTACAAACCACCATATTTGAGTAAGTACTGTTCAAAAAGTTCTCTGGAAGCGTTCCCTTTGCAGGAACAAAAATTAGCTCTTTCTGCTTTTCATGCTAGGAATAATACAGGCACAATCTTAGGAATGGGAGGGGAAACGGCTTCTCTTGGATTCAGGCACCAGTGAGGAAGGCATTGTACAGTGCTTTTATAAAAAAGACAAAGTCTTGCTTGTTTTTAGTGTGACATCATTGTCAGCAACAAAAGTGTCAGTTAATATTAGTGGGGGAGTCGCTCAGTTTTGTTTTCTGATGCTGGATTATTTCTAAAATTTTCTTTGGTAGATGTTTTAAACGTTGGTGTTGCCAGGCTAGTGTTTTCTAAGACTAGAGTAAATTTGAGAGAGCTTCGAGGAGCTTCTTTTTATAATTGAGAAGCATCTTGTGAGTGAACAGTATGTATACTATTTTGAAGTAGCTGTTTACATAGTTTGGAAGGAGGAAGAGCCTTCGGTCTGATCGTCTTTCAGCCTACATATTATTAACTCTCGTAAGTGCACCACTGTGCCTTTTCTCTCATTCCAAAATCTTGCCTCTTTCTTTAGTCACCTTTTGACTATGGTTATGTGGCATGAAAGACTGTGATAGATCTCAAAAAGACCTTCATAATTCCTTTTGGAGTCTGAGCCAGCTGTAGAACCCTTGAATAGCACTTTGATCTAATATGTATTTTCATTCTATTTGATGCGTTCTGTATTTTATTAGAGACTAATTTCCTTGACATGGAGAATTTATGATGTTTATCTCATCCAAATAGGCCAAAGACATTTACACTGCAATACTGACCCTTTTTTAAGCAACAGAGGTCTTTTAGGACAGCAGATTGGGGGTAAAAGAGAAAAGAATCTCTCTGAATTGTATTAATTTATTTATTTTCCTAAAGCATTTAGTTGTTCTGAGGGTTGGTTTGATGGCAGTTCTGATATGTGAAAATCTTTGGTACAGATCATTCTCAGCACAGACAGCTCAGTTTTCCCTTCTAAATAGGCTGTCCTGGTATTTGCATTCATTTAGGAGAGGTCTTTTTACCACTCTACTCTTTAGATTCACTTTACTGACAACTTTAAATTTGGCTACTGGTTCTGATCTGTGAAAGCCCTTGCTAAAAACCTGTCCTGAGACAATCACCTTAATTTGCAGCTGAATTACTTATTTTGGGCTAAAATGTCATGTGCCAATCTAGTCATATTCTAAAGATCGGTGTGAAATTTCAGTACTTTCAGTCTTTCCTGAACTGATCTTCCATCATTTATTTCTACAAAACATTCTTCAGCACTAAGGCACAATCTAGCATCATTGATTTAATCACTGTCACCTCAGTTAAAAATTTAACTCTAATTTAACAAGTTTGGTGGCATCTTTAGATGATCTAACAACAACTGGGTTCTTGTGCAGTATGGATGTTGCAATGATGATTGTTATCTGGGGACACCACAATGGTAGTTCTGTTCTGATTTGTTCTAGGCCTGGGAGTTTAATTCCAAATAGCAATGACACACTTGTTTCATTGGTAGTTTAGGAATTTTAAATTTTGTTACACTAGCATGAGTAGGTTGTTGAACAATGTCATTACATAGAGACATTGATTACATTTTGCACTTTCCTGGCACAAGGGCATAAACAACTGGAAGTAAAATATCAGAAGTAACCAATAAATGAGTGTTATTGCATAATCCACACTTGAGAATCCAGATTTAGTTTTACTTTTTTCCTTGAACCTCGAAGCTAAAATTTCTACAAAAAAAGAGTAATGCTTCTCTGTTTTATTTTCCCTTATTTGGTGGGGTTTTTTTTTGGTTTTGCTTTATTTTGTTTTGTTTTATTTTAGATTATAATTGTATAGCAAAGAACAGGAACAACAGAAAGAAAGTGAGCATTAGTTGTGGAAATGAGGAAATAACTTATTATTAATAATGTATTAAACAAATAAGGTAAGAAAAGTATATAAGAGGAAGTTGACTTAAGAAGGAACCTTAGTTGATTCACTGGGTAATTGCAATTAAAAATAAAATTAAATTCAACTTCTTCACACAGAAAACCATGTCAAAATCAGTTTTTCAACTTCTTCACACAGAAAACCATGTGTGAAGTCAGCAGAATGACTTTTTAAAAGAAATAATTAAAATGTATGAAACAAAACCCTCATATTAAGCAAAAACACTGTACAAAAAGTTGAAGCATATTTGAAAATGGCCACATGAAAAATGAGCAGCAAAGAATAAAACGTGTATTGCAGAATGCAAAAACTATTTGAATTTAAAAGGTGTCTTAAAAAAATAATTATCTAAACCAAATTATCAGAAAAGAGCAGAAATTCTAGCTAGTGACTTTGAGGATGGTAATTAGTGAACATAAAAGGGAAACCTTAGAGCAAATAGCCAAAGGAATGCAAACAATACAGACAACTTCCAGATACCAGGTGTAGTAAGGTAGGAGAGAACTGGTGAGTCTCTTGAGCTGCAGTTAGTGAGGACAAGGATGTGGCAGAGATTCTAAACTGTTTCTTTGCATCTGTATTTACCCAAGGAGGGACGGAGATAGGCAGGCATATCTGGGAAGGCATCCTTCCCAGGTAAGCATTTTAAATAAATGTTTGAAAAATGGAAGAGGATGTTGTTGAAAAAAATTACTAAAATGAATAGAAAGGAGTCAGTTGATCATGTGTTTCTTCAATTTTTGGCTTCTAATAAGAGCTGCTAACCAAAGAATGTCAGAAGTTGTGTTTGTCATTTAAAAATGTACTAGAAAACATGGTAAATCAGAAGCCTCAGCATAGGGAATACATTTGTAATTTCGGGGCTGTAGGAACAAGGTAGCTGGCATCTGACCAGGAAAGTAATACAGGAAGATTGTCAATCTATTAGAATTTTGATAGAGTGAGAATTAATCAATAGAGTGTATTTGAACTGTCAAAAAAAAAAAAAAAAAAAAAAAAACCCCTCTAGCACAGCTTCTGTGTAGTAGAAGCTCCTAAAATAATCAAGTGTTGTCATAGGGCAAAGCATTACCAGACTTCGTGCCTAAGAGGAAAAAATCATGAGGATAAATGGAACATTTCAGCAGAAGCAGAGTTCCCCAAGCATTTATGCAGAAATCCATGGAGTTTTAAAATAATTAATTATCTAGAAACAGCAATCAGAAAAAGGGGGCAGTGTCTGCAGATGTCATGAAGGGGTTTGGGTGCACTGGCTCTCGAGTAGCACATACCCCTGATGCACAGTGAAGTGTGGGCAAACCTCCTCTGCTTCCCAGGTACCTGGCTCTGGAATGGAAAGCTGCAGAACCCTGTCAGCACACTGGGAATGCTGAGGAGCTCACTCCCTGGAGCTGTGTCCTTAGTCAATGGCTCCAGAGGTTAGCTGGTAGCTCTAAGTGGAGCTTTCATGGTGCCACAGGAGTGTGTCTGCTCTGGGATTCCTCCAATGTGTACATTCAGTACAGAACCTTCAAAAAGATCAAGAAGGTGATGCATATTAACATGAGAAATTTGAATTCATCCTGAGAAAAAAAGACCATGGAATAGTTCCCTGAGAAGTTTTCCACAATGCACAAAGCCAGCAAGAAGGAAATAAAATACTAGGTTGTTAAAAGGGAATTGAATTGAAAATACACTTTAAAAAGTGCTACCAAACCCCTACACAGATCATGTCACTGTGTTCCTCTAGACAGTCTATTCATTCCATAGAAACACATGGCATAGCAGCAACAATACTGAAAATAACTCTGTGCAAAGTCATATCAAAAGCTTAGTACTAATTAATGTAGGCAAGCTGTGATAGGGAAAGGAAGTGAAGGAGGCTGCCTGAGAACTGTGGAAGTAAACTGCGTGCTTTTGTTTGCTGGGCTCAACAGCAAGAGAGCAGCAAGGCAGAGAAACAACTGCAGGGCAACAGGGTCATGAACATTTGATAAAATACACATAGATCACACACATTTGATAAAATGATACCAATTTGACAGAAATTGCAGTAACCTGTTGAACTTGTGCAGCATGATTGAAGCTGAAGGCTTAACATAGTGGGAATTTGGGTATTTGGTTCTTTGTGGTTGGAGGTTTAGGCCATTGCTTCGTTAAGTGAAAACAGCAGCTGTATTGCAAATTATTATGTAGAAAAGTATACAAATCTCATACCTGACAGAGTTTCTTTTTGTTCCATCATGAAATTTTCATCTTACTGGTCTAAGCCATTGGACTTACTCACACACCAATTTCCACATAAACATACATATTCTATGTATTATTCTGAGCAAAATGTAATGTAAGTAGATTTCTGCATACTTAAATAATATATTTTGAAGAATATATTTATGTAAGTTTTATGTAATTGCTATGAGTAAAAGTGATAAGTTATGATGGGATCAGTAAATTGTAGGATTTTTGAAAATAGTTTCCTCATAATGTGACTCCAGGATTCTCCTAACTTACATATTCTTCTTACTGTGCAACTAACATTACTATTTGTTGTTCATCCATGTGGTTTGAACACTGCATTTGTGCAGACAGTTAAGAAATTTTCATAATGATTTGAATGTTCATAAAAAATGAAAGAAATTTGGAACTTGATTGGAGAAATAAGTGAAATAACACTCATGAGGAAAATAAAATGTAGCTTTTAAAGAATTCCTCTGTTTTCAATCCTAACCATTTCTAGTTGATTTTTCTTTCAGTGGTGGTTATATTAGCCATTATTTTTATAAATAATATTCCTATAGTTACCAAAACTCCTAATCCAATATTCAAACTCTGTTGGACCAGATTCTGTAGGATATATAACAGACACTATCTTCACAAAGAATACCTGATCAGTCTGATTCTGCTCTATTTCTAATGCTTTGAACAAGATCCTGAGATGGTAGCAGTGGAAACAGCACCATTAAATCTACCTCAGGAGTATTTTTGTCTATAATTAATAAGAGATGGCTTTCATTTTTTTAAATATAATTTTAGTTCACTCTAGATGGGCAATAATTTTATAATGCTT